CAAATCTGAAATGGAGATGGCCCACCTCTACTCACTCTGTGATGCTGCCTATGCCCAGACAGAAGTTGCAAAGAAGTATGGATTGAAACCACCAACACTGTAAAGAAACAAGGAGGAAATGACCTTCTAAAGTGAAGTTGCCCACTTCGGCCAGCCCTAAAGATGCTGTTGCAGACCATGTTGAGTGGTGGAACTTAGTTTTTTTCCATTTGTGGTGTTGTCATTTGCTACATCTGTTAAATGTTTAGGTGTTGTGGGATTGGTTGTTCAAGGAAGTATGCAGTGTTGCATCTTGTTCCTTCTGCAGTAAAAACCTTAAGGCGTGTTAAGGGAAATGAAGTTGCAGGGGAACAAAAGGAAGACACTTTGGCCATGCAAATAAAAACTTCACACGGGTTCATTTTGGGTGATTATGTTGTGGGCAATTTTTGCTTTATCAACCAATATAACAGCATGTTGGGGGTTTTCCTGTTGATTTTAAGGGTAATACTAGTCAGTGCTGTAAAATAGGTTTCTTTTTTATATGCAATTAATCTTTGAGGGTTGATTTTAATTTTGAAAAAGGAAAAAAATAACTTTCAAACTGTTTAGTAATAGGGTTTTTTAAGTCAGATGTGGAGAGAATCCCTGTAAATATACGCAAGTATGCACAGTCTTCCCTTAAAGCCCCTCCCACCCTCTGCACACCTTACTTAGAAATCGTCCTGTGGCAGCTATTAGGGAATTAATTTGATAGTCCTTATGCTTACCCCAGAAAGCCCTAGCATACTATATTGGAGAGCAAGTAAATAGGTTGGCTGGGGAAAGAGGTCAGGTAACACTGCTCCAGTGCAGGTTTTACTGGAAGAAAGGCCTTGTTCCTGTGCTGTGGTCCTTACTTGAATGTCACAGGAAATTGTTCTGGAGGGTTCAGAGGGACTTTAAAGAACAGAAAGCACTGCTGGGTGTATTGCTCCCAAGGTAAGGTCTTGCTTGCATATAATCTTTGTCATCTCTGATGCTTCTGCTGAAATGTAACAGCTAATCCACTGTCTGAATTCTCGTCAGTCTAGAGACTGCGGTGTTCCGATCTGCCCCGTATAACAGATCCTTTGCGGGATTAAGTGAGATAAGGAACAAAGCATAGGCTAAAACTTCAAATAATGGATCTAGAATCTGTACTGGTTTTCTTGTTCTTTAGGTTCTGTCTTGTCTAAGATGACAAATACTGTAGAGAGGAAGCAACTGTTATGCAAGTGGCAGATCAGGAAGTCATTAAATACTGGTATAAACTGTTTCCCTCCAGCTGGGAACTTCACAGAGGGCTCTCCTGCTTTGGGTTGATCTTTGGATCTGTGGAAGCCAGTCCATCCATCTCACCTCTCCTTGGATTGATGTGGTTGGATAAACCTCATGCTAGTACTTAACTGATGTAGCTTTATTTATTATATGCTAATTTAGCCTTCTTTCCATCCTGAAATTGTAGGTTTGCTTGTGCTGAATTGTCTACTGTATTTCAGCTTTTAAAGAAATGAACCATGCTGTGGTCAAACTGTTGTTCTTTAGTTGTGCCACCACATAGCAGCAGCTTGTATATTCAGCTTGACCTTGCTTTCTCTCAGCAACTACAATGAGAATTCAAATGGTGGAGAGTAGACATAAAGATTTAATCATTATATTTTAACTAGCTCAGGTGATCTGAAATCACAGCACTGGTGTAGAATTGAAGTCAGTGGAAGGTACTGGCAGCTTCTAAGGACATTGCACATTAGTGTCAGCTGTCTTCTCGAACTTCCAATCTCTGCACTGATGACCTGAGAATAAAAATATGCCAGACTGACTTGTGTCCTCCTGAGGAGTTTTTATTCGCATGGCCTTACTTACATTGGCATTTTTCCTCCTCACCCCACCTGTACCCCATTCCTTACCCCACTCAGTCAATTAAGGGAAAAAAGCATGTGCTGTTGAACACTAGCATTCCAAGTCATCACAGACTTTTGCCTGTTCTTGAACTAGCTTGAAACTGCACTGAAAGGATGCATTATCTGTAATTTTTTTTGTAAATGACGTATTACCTGTAAACTAAAAAAATAAACATTACCTTCAAGTATCTCTCTCTGACATGTATAAGAACAGGTTTTGATGAAAGTGTTCTGCAGTGGTGCTCTCTGTTCTTACTTGAGGTTGCTCTGACTCTGGGAAGAATAACGATGACTGACTGACTCCCTGTCATCTTCTCCCATTTCAGCCTTCAAGAAAAAAGATGTGGAATTAGCAAGTCTTTTCTCTGTGACTGCATCCATCACCCACAGAGATATGATTTTGAGAGCTGAATATTACAGAGAAAAAGGAAATCCAGCCAGGAAAGCTGGGAGTCTGGTGGCTGACACCCCATTAATCAGTGTATGCCAGTGAATCCCTTTAGTGAATGGCTGATACAGTTAAGGGTTTACTTGAAGCCAGGTGTGCATAGGAACTGCGAGCAAAGCTTCCTTTAGTAGGGATGGAGAGCTAAAGTGAAACAAGTATTGCTGCTATTTAAAGAAAATAAATCCTGTTGAAACATAGGAAGCTGGTAGTGAAAGCTTGGATAAACCTGGTGTAGTCCAGGCACTCTGGGAAGTCACTTCTACACATAGTTGTCTTGTGTCTTAATTCTGATCATGTAGAATCCCTGTTGTTCATCTTGGACACAGCTTTGCCAAAGCGGAGATTAGAAGTTGACTTGAATTACTAGGATCTAATTGTAGATTGAAAGTGAAGAGGGAACTAACGTATACTAGGGAGCTGTACTGTAGCTATTTTGGAACTGTTGAGAGCAGCTTAGGTGGAGCTTTAACCAGGGTTCCCACCTGCACTGGTAATAACACTGCCTGATACAATAGGCATTACTGTGTTTTCTGTTGTTTCTTTAAAAAGACTTTAAATTCTTGCAGTCTGAAATTCTGGAGCTATTTCAGGTTTGTTACTGGCTGTTTTTCTATACTTACAGAATATTGGTGCATATTTATAATACAGATAGTTAAAATGCCTGTTTTATACCAACACAGATTGAGTAGGCACTGCTTCAAGTATTACCTAGCTGATAATGGATAGCGTACCTTTTTTTCATTGAACTCCACAAAATTCAAAGTCCCATCTATATTGTTTCTGAGTGGGTCATACTGGAGATCCCCTAAACATCCTGCTAAACTTAAGGTGCTTAGAAGCTATTCTGACAGGCTGAAGAGGATTGAGCTCATGTCTCCTTTTCAGACAAGTTCACTGAAGTAGCTTGCTACAGATTCTCAGGCACTCTCCCCTGGAGATTCCAGGGGAGGGCACAGGCCAAGGATTCTGTTGCTTGTGCAGACTGCACTTTGCATTTTTAAAATTCAGTGGTCAGCCCATGAGAATTCTGCACTGTAATTCTCCAGAGGTAGTACTTGGCTCCTGCTCTGCTGCATGTTAAACTACTATAGAGGGGAGGGAAGGGGAACATCGATGGAGTTGTTCAGAAAGATGGATGTGTAATATCTGCTATGATTCAGAAGCTGGAGCCCATGATGACCATCATGGATGCTGCTGGCTGAGAATGTAGGAGGCACTAATCTAATGCAGGAACCTTGACTCAAATGGTAAATGTTGCTTTTTAATATTTATTTTTCAACAAATAAATCTTCATTTCACTTTATGCTCTGTGGCTTGTTTCTTATGTACACCAAAATGCAGCAAAAAAAATGTACAGACCAAACAATGCCTGCTGGGATAATGCAGTGGTGTGGAATGGTGCCACCTGTCTTTTGAAGCCTCAGGGTTTGGCTTAATTTAACCATTAATTTTCCTCTACAATAAACACAGACCTAACTTGTTCCAAAGAAGCCAAAAGAACATAAAAACATAGGTCAGGAGAGCAGCTGTGGGAAGAGGAGGATGGCTAAACATAAAAAGGTAAGGTGGCTTTGAGGGAAACTGGCAGTTAGCTGCAGCAAGTCAGAGCCTTCTCCATTTTGTATTCTGAAACCTCCTTTAGCCTTACTGCTTTACCATTTTTGCTGATGAAAAACTAAAAGCTTAGTGGTAAAGGCTGGTTTTAAGCATTTAAAGCCACCTTTAGTAATCAGTTTAAGTCTCTTCAGCAAGAGCGATGATGTGAGGAATGTTTCCCATGCAGCTCATGGAAGCTGGCCTTCGGTAGCAATAATGCATTTAAACACTGAGCAGTTAAAGTACCTGTCTTCTCAAAGATGGTGGGCAGAAAGACTTCATTCAGCACAGTAATTTTCTAACCCTTTGACTGACTCACCCTTTTCAGGTGAAGATTACCAGGCAGCAGAATTAAAACCTAGTCACACACTGTATTAAAGAAGCAGTATACAGAGCAAAGGTGTGCCATCATGTGAATTGCTTTAACAGTAACCTGCACTACTTCAGCAACAACCAAGAACTGCAGTAAAGAGAATTTAATACATATATTTGAGGAAGGACATGAGCCAAACCCTGTTACAGATTCTTCTATAGTAATACTCCAGTCTGGCAGCTTTTTGGATTGTTATCCCTAAATCATGCAGGGCAGGATTTGGCCTGTTTTGCTTAGTGTTTGAAATTTTAAGCTTTCCAAGTACAGATGTTGGGCATTCAGGGAACTTTAAGGCACATACAGCTAAGGAGAGAGGTGGAAGAATAATGCTTTTAGATTATTTGATAATTCACTGAAATGTTTATAATACCAAAGCTGACTGACTTCAGATAACAAGGTTCCCATTTCTATGTTCCACACAAAAACTCCCCAAAAGCTAACTAAAACACTGTGATACGTAAAAAGCAGTATTAATTACTACTGTGTTGAACTGATTTTACCTCCGTCTTTGATTTTACCTCCATCTTTAACATAGCTGTAAACTACTGTGAAATACTAGAGTACAAGAGGAGATAGAAAAGTTGTATTTCGATCAATTTTAGAATTACACCATAAAATTTTTTGTTTGTGTTGGCTGGTTGGTTTGGTGGCTGCGGGGCTTTGTGGTTTGTTCTTTTTGGGCTTGTTGTTTTGTTTTGTTTTTTTAATTTTTAAATTAACTGGAACATTTAGCAGTAGATTGTGGAGGAGCTAATAAAGAAAGCCTTCACAAGATGAAAGCAGCAGCCATTTTGGCAACTTCACCCTCCCATTCACCCAGCTTCACTTTTTCATCTCTATTCCATAGAGATCACAACGCTTCTGGCTTAAGATAGGAATCTGTTGACGTATTTCTGCAAGTTTCTTCAGATCTGCAGGGGAGGAGAGAAAGAGCTATTAGAACAGCAGTCAAAAAGGACAACTGACTTGCTCTGGGGTAAGGCAGGGAAAAGAGCAGCCTTCATGGAGAATGGGCCTGCAGGGCACTGCAGCTAGGCCGCAAGGACTGAAGGAAACCTCAACTTTGCTCTTTCCTGAGGCGTCGGCTTCTTCATAAGGAAGTAAATGGGAAAAGGGTAGTCAAGGGCTGCTTGTTCTTACTTTCATCTAGCAACAGAAAAGGCATCAGACACTGCATCATTTAATTGCATGTGCAAGCCTACAGACTTACAACTGTTTCTCCTTAGTCTCATGACCTGTGCTCAAGAAAAAAAAGCGGGGAAATAAAAAAAGAACAAAACCCAAACCCTTTACCCTTACCTATATCTGTGTATAAAACCGTTTCCTCAGCCCCAGCTTTGGCTATGACTTCACCCCTGCAAAATGAAGCACATTTGTTCACAGCATTAAAAGAGGCCTCAAGGCATCAGTCCAGTTGGTACTGTTTGTACAAAGTGGAGTTTCTTCCCTTGATGTCTACAGCTGTAAAGATAGGCTGTCCTAGAAACAGCATCATAATTCATAACTCTAGCATGACAGAAACAGCTTCCAGGCTTTATACGTGATACATATGTGACATATGCATACTTAACACAAGGGTGTTTCCAGGCATCAGGAATCATGATAAAGGCAACTATAAGACCCTGTGCATGTCAGCATGCAATATAACTCAAGGGGCAAGAAACAACTTCACCAGCGACAACCACATGTGGCAAAGACTAACCTCTTCTCCTTTCAGATCCTGATGGCTTTTAAGAGGAGTATACTTTTACTCTGCATAAGCTACTGAACGTTATTTATCCTGTCTCCCACTAGGTGTTCTGTGACTGCTTTCATCATACAAAGTTAAAAGTTCAAGACACAGATAAAGCTTTTCTTACTTTGCAATCATCTGGAGAGAATAAATCATCAGTGGATTTCTCTGGAAGAGAAGTAAGTGCTTGAAGATTTGGCCACTTTTACCTCCTGGGCACCTATGTGACTTCTGCTTAAGTCAGAATATGTTTCTTGCCTAGTTGAAGACATTCTTCTTGTTCTTTTTTTATGTCAAAGCAGTGTTATTTGAAGAAATGGAATAGTTTTGTGTAAGTAAGTAATTTAAAATTGTTCAGTTCTGCACAGAGAATTACCATAATGCATAGTACATAACTGACTGAACTTCAAGGACAAGTTGAAAAGGTCAGCAGCTTAACTAATGCTAAATGCTAGAATTAAGTAGCTTTCTTGCTACCAAAAAGAATACATACTGTTAAACTAGTTTTGGTTTCCTTTTCATTTTTCAGTCAGTTTTAAAGTGTGCTTTTGAAAATATAGGCTTAAGTCTTAGGTACTTCTTACCAAGAACTTGATATTTTAAAGAGTAGTTGGAAATGTGGGACTGAAGTGTTACGGCCAAGTAAAACTTACCTTTTAAACAAGAAAAAGCAGGGCTTTGGTTTTGTTTTCTGAACTCACCATGGATTTACTACAGTGCTGTGTCCCCAGGCAACATAGGATGCTTTTTCATCTCTAGCAGGAGATACGGCAGCTATGTATACTTGATTATCAACAGCTCTGTGTACACAGGAAAATAATGGAAAGGGGAGAAAAAAGTAATTTTTTTTTTTAATACCAATTTATTAAGCAGAAGAGAAAGAATTCACTCTTTCATAGTGTAATTTGGAAAACAAGGAGAGTTGGGTTCTGTGTGCTAAAGCTCCCTCTGGAACAGGAGAATATGCTGTTATTTGTTCTTACCTCCCCCTTTGTAGCAGTTCCCAATGGGCTGGTCCTGTTGTCAGGTTAAAAGCCCCTGGATAGATCAGCAGCTGGCAACCTTTAGTAAAAGAAAATTAGAACCCAACCATGATTAACGGGAAGATGATATACCCTAGAGTGGTCCTTCACATTGAGACTCAAGGCAACGTTTCTTACAGTATCGCCCCAAATGGAACCAGAGCCTGTCCATGTTTATGTAAGCCCTGTGATACATTACTGAAAGCGGGGATATCCTCACCTCCATCACTCCACTGGCAAACATGTATCAGGAAATGATTGTTAATTTGTTCAAGAAGAACAGACACTTATTTCAATAACAAACCCTCAGCCACACGAAACATTCGGTGTTACTAGGTGCGGGTAAGAGTGCCTGATCAGAACAGTATGTACCACTCTGAAACGCTCTGGCACAGTTCAGGCCTTATAGCTAACCATGCTCCATTAGGTGACCCAGCCTCACCTTTCTGTCCATAGACTTGAGCCATCTCAGCAAATCTGATATCATAGCAGATGCCCAGGCCCACTTTACAGTATGCTGTTCTCAAAATACAAGAGACAACAGTCATATTACTATCAGCAGCACATGAAAGCAATCAACACTCCCTGCCAGTTGTCATTTTACACGTCTTACAGTAACAAGAGAAGCTGTATTTAAATGCGTATCCTTATCTGTAACAAGCATTAGCTATTTGTGGGGGAGAAGTCATGCTTCATGATGACAGGAAAACTGTGAGAAGCAATCTATACTTCAAAACCAGCCATTTCCACAAAATCATGTTAATGCAGGTCTGTGTGTAATGCATTCCTCTCTGATTTAGCTGCAGCTTTTCCATTTATTTTCTTCTCAAGAAAAAAACCACTCACTGCTCTTCATGGACAAAGAATGTAGCTGATTCAAGAATGTTGGAATGGGATTTGCAGTCTCCATTATTGTATCATCCTCACCTGAAACAATCTGCCAGTGTAGCTGTTTGCTACCTATATTCTTTTTCAAGGCACGTTCTATAGGAACCATTTTTAAGATGTAACAGCTATTAAAAAAAAATACAGTAACTTCTCTTTAGCAAGTCAATAGGACTATTATTTATTAAGGGAAGTGCCATGATGTATGCTTCAACCCTTTCTACTCTGTCCCTCAGCAATCACTTGCTCCAAATAACATTGAGTTTCTAAAAGTCTCAGAAGTGACCTACACACTCGGAATAAACTTAAACTGTATTTGCCATGGTTTTCAAATGCCTGATATAAATCTGTTTGTTAGTCTAAAAATCCATTGCTGGGTTGACAGTGAATCCAATGACAGGGAAGACAACTCCTATAGTGTTTCTGTGGTAGAAGTCCTTACAGAAAGGGCTTGTCTTATACTCACGAGTATCAAACATGGAGAAACTATTCCCTGGACTCAGTGTTTCAGACTCTCTGAACTGTATCTTCCCAGGAACATTAATGTCAAACAAATGAACCTGTAATTATAGTATGATTAATAACAATTTCTGTTCTTGGTACTTCAGCCTCTTTCTATTGGGCATGTGTTTTCTAGTCATCATTATCCAGACTTCTCTTTTGTCAGGATCTCAACTAAACATTGCTTAAGATTGTGAAATCTGCTAAAGAAAATTTAAAGCAGGTTTTTTCTTTACAGAACTATAGATGTCTGAAGGTATTAGGGGAGAAAAAACCCCAACCCTCCAAAACAAACCCAGCTCAGTTTTCCCAGCATCTGGGAAAAGCCAGTTATGCCTTGTGCATTTTGTCATCCTTACCCAGAACAAATTTATGACTGCCTTTGGGTGTTTACATGTCCCAAATAAAAGTCACATGCAGTTTTACTGACAGTACACAGCTTATTATTAATGCAAGATTCTACTATTGCCCATCACCTTCAGGCAAGATATAAAATAATTTTTGTAACACTGCTGAGAAACCTTCTAATGACAACATTATGCCATCTTACCTTCCTGTGCTTTGCCAACATTGCACCATCAGGCCCAAAGACAGCACATGTATTATACAGTTTTCCACCATCCTCTTCTGGAATGGATCCTTTATAAAGATGAGAACAAAGATTCCACCCAATGTATTATATGGAATTATGATCCAGTGGCACTGATAGACATGGCCCATTTTTTTCCCCTCAATGAGACAGGTTACCAAGAGTGAACTACCTCCAACAAGATATATGCCGCATTCCTTTGCAACTTCTGACAGCTTTTGTGTTGATTCCCCAGGGATCTTCTCTGCATACTCCTTAAAGTATTGGGTTCCATAGGGAGAATTAAAGCATTCCTGGAATTCAGGAAAAAAACCAAACAACAGTTAAAATCCAAAAATCCAGTAATACCACCGCAAAGAGATCTTTTTAACTCTTCTTTATCAGTGTTCTCATTCAATCTTTAGTTACAGGAGTTTAGTTTACAGGAGCTCAATAAGCAAACCAGAAAGTATCTCAGGAGGCCAGAGAGACCTTTAACAATTAGAGAAAATGCAGTAGGTGTGTTGGTGTGACTGCACGCCAAACAGAGCATTGTGCAAGCTGCAAGTAACAAGACTAGCACTTTTATCAGTCTAGACTTAGCAAGATCACAATGGATATTCTCACCAGAACAATGAGCCAAGTTCCACCTAGCTTATTTGACAAGTTACAAGCTAAATAAATCCTCTCAAAACTGAGATGCTCATGTTCATCTGCAGCCCATGATGTCTTAATGTATACAAAGACTTACGAAAAAGCACACATTTCTCAAAATTACTCATTTTGCAAAAAAATAAAAAAAAAAATCCTTCAAACACCATTTCCTCACAACTGAACAGCGTCTTCTGTCCTAGGCTCAAGTTAAATATTTGCTATCCCTCAGAACCATGCATGTAATCTTTAGACAGCAAGATTAACAGAGCAGTTTAGATGTCCAAACTACATGGCCAAAAGCTATTTGAGATGTCCAAGATATCCAGAACTTTTGCTCTGCACTACATTTAGCGCTCTGTGAGGATGTGTGACATCCCCCAACACTTTTTTTGTCCCCTAAGGGAGTACAGCTGAAGGCCACAGGTAGGCTATTAAACAGTAACAGCACCTACTCTTCAGCAGGCAATTCTCAGCCCAAGCATCTGCCTCAACTGTTACCTCTGCACACTGGAAGTTGTAACAAACACATCACATACCACTACCTGCCCCTTAAAAAAAAGAAAAAAAAATCAAGCTGTGAATAGCACAATAAAAATTTATGCCTTAACCACTCAGGCAAACTTCCTAATAACTGCAGAGGATTGTACTGAGCTGAATAAATAAATCAAAATTGGATGGACTTTTTTGCCACATATACAGTCACTAGGCCAAGCAAGATGCAAGCTAACCCACAGCAGAATCTGTACACAGAAGGGGCAGAAGGGAAGTCTCTGCAGGCTGTCAAATGAACTTCCCAGGCTTTTGAAAATGCAGGACTGAACTCCAAGGAAGTGAAAGCAATGCCAGCTGCCCCACCTGCATCCAGCCCCTTGCAGTGTCAGTGAGGGTGGGACTGAAACCATGGGCTCAAGAGGACAGGCAGGACTCTGCAAGCTTGTAGCAGCAGCACATGAGGCTGCTTCTAAGCTGATGCTGGAACAGAACTGTAGAATGTCTGCACAGATGACCCATTTCAGTGCTCTCCAAAGTGGTAAGAATACAGGGACAGACCTTTGAATTGCTTTCTATCAATTTCTAGATTCAAATGTATTCTGTTTTTATTTCTCTATCCATAAACATTACAAATTGTTTTTCTCTCACAGATTTTTCCTGCTTCAGAAATGAAAAAAAAAAATAATTAACACATCAAGGCTAACATGTCACAGGGAAACTGCCACATGCCTCTGCAGAAGTGTAGATTACATAGTCAGTGCAAGTTACTTCTTTCTATAATGTAACTTAAAAAAAAAAAAAAGTGAAGAGAATATTTCAAGGAAAAAAAAAAGTGAATATTTCAAGAAAGAAAAAAAAGTGAAGAGAATATTTCATGCCCACATCCCAACGCCAGAACAAAATCTATCTCCCAAAAGCCTGTGAAAAGCTTGCCCTTGTTTTACAGGTTTTACTCTACAAGCATAGATTATCACTGGCAAGGTGAGTATCTCAACTAAATAGGTCTGGAAAACTCAATGTCTGTACACATGACGAAACTAGCAAATAATAGATAATCTCCTTGGCTATTCTGGCAGAATAATCAAAGGTCACATTTGCAACACAAGAACTGTTAGCACAGAGGAACTGTGAAGTTTTGTCCTGCCTGTGACAGCAGGGGGAAAACATTCTGACTGTAAAGCATTCAGACTAAAAGTTCACCCAGAGAAATTTGCACTTCTGAGTCAGATGCTGCAGGGCACAGGGGTAACGCATGTACCCCCAGGAAGAGAGGAAAAAGCTCCAAGTTGCACTGGGAAGGTTGCCTCCCTGCCAGCACCCTCATCTGTGTGAAGATTCAGCTAGGCAATCCTGACTGAAGTCCAGAAAGTAAATGAGAAATTATCAGTAATTTTAAGTGACTATTTATGATCCCACAAAAGGAAGTCACAAGAGAAATGTTTTTTAATCATAAGTCAGCCACAAATTACCTGTTAGAAATGTCTATTGTGTTTACAATTACAGCAAAAAGAGTCACCTGTTCCCTTTCATCTTCATACCAACATACTTTAGCTGAAAATTGCCTTTCCTTACACTTGTAGCACACAGGGCTTCTGCAAAGACTCAAACTACAGTGCCACTTTGGTGAAACCAGAACATACCAGTAACAGAACTGCCTGGGATTTAAACCAGTATAAACTTAACCGGGTTCTTATACCACAAGAAAAAAGACAACTTTCTTCCTCTTCCTGCCTCCCTCTTAAGTATGCCTCTAGACAGAACCCCTGCTCTTTTCTGTTTTTCTTATTCTGGAGCCTCATACAAGCATCTAAGCTATCCAGAGAGAAACACGAATACACAATATATTAGTAACACTAGAAAGGGGTTTCCAAGGGTTTGAGATACAGGTACTATTGTAGACCACGATTTGTACTCACAGGAAGAGCTACAACTTCAGCTCCTTTAGCTGATGCTTCTCTCACCAGCCCACAGGCTCTCTGAAGGTTCTCTGATTTAACAGCAGATACATGGAGCTGAATAAGAGCTAGGCGGAAGTCTAGTGGCAGAAAAGAAAAACTTGGTCAGCAGAATTCCCCCAGGAAAAAATCCTCAAAATTTCAATTCACTAATGAGCATTTAACAAAACAGATTTACTTATATATTAACATATGCATAAACCACTTCCAACTCATTTTGCAGTCCACCTGGAAACAGTCTCTTAACACAATGCTGCTAGCATTTGCTTGTTATTTTTTTTAATGAAAGGCTTCACAAACATAAGTACCCCAGTTTCATAGCACCTTTCTTCCCTGGAAAACTCCCATGTGATGCACTCAGAGATCATTATAATATAAAGAAAAAGCTCCAAGCAACACACAGCCTCGCTGGTCAGGTAAACAGGAAGAACTGATTCAAGTGACTCTCAGTATTTGTCTTACTGAGTAAACAAAGCTTCACTGAGATTCTGAATAGGTGTAATCACAGTTGGCTTCCAGACCTAGATAACCATACTGGGAATGTGTCTAAAACCTTCCCATATTTGTTGCACATGTTCAGAGAAATTTGACACCAAAGAGATTTAAATTTTGGCATAAATTCACTTCTGAAAACAAACAAACACAAAACAAAATCACAAACAAAACAAAAAAACCCCCAAAACATCTACTAAGAAAAAATCTTAACCAACTTCCTTCTCATGTTTAAAACACCATTAAGCCATTAAACTTATTTTCCCTACCCCTCGGTTTTGGATTTTGTTAAAAGGGCAAAATTAAAGCTCAGCCACAACAGAATACATGTTTTTGTGTCCATGGTTTCGTTTAAAAACTATCGGATGTAGAAGTAACGGAGAAACGTTCAACAGTGCTGGGGAGGCCCAAGATCTCTCCTTCCAGCCTTGCTAAGCTGCCTCAAAAACTTCTTTAAAAGCAATTCTTAGGATAAGCTATAGCAGTGCAAACCACAACCAGATGAAAGTGTATCAGAGTAAAAGCATAGTTCGTATTTGTATCACCATGAAGCAGGGGTTTTAAAAACATCAGCAGCTACGCTTGTGACGCTTGTTTCAGATCGCATTCCTCGACAAGCTGATCACTGCACCAGTGCCGGGAGACGCACCGACAGCGGCTCCAAGACTGACCCGTAGCAGGGCGGCCAGCTCCCTCTGGCTGGTTATTTCCCACCCCAGGAAGGCTGAGGGGCAGCGCCCACCACTGAGCCCCACGACTGAGCTCCGGGAACACCGGCCGAGTCTGCGGCCACCTGGTTGCGTCCAGTCAGCGGAAGGTGAGGATCCAATGGGGACAAGGCGGCGCCGGCAGCGGCTCGGGGTGGCCCCAGCGGTCTGGGGACAGGCGGTGGCTCCGCGGAGAGCTTCGAGGAGAGCGGGGAAGCCGGCACTAGGCAGCGGCGCCTCTGACCGGCTGAGGCCTGGGGCGGGAGGCCGGAGCCCCGCCGCAGAGGCAGGTTCAATGCCACCCCGGCCGTTCTCCCCCACGCCGCGGGCCGGTGCGGGGGGACCCGGCCGGCAGGGAGAGACGGGCGGGAGCCTAAGTAGGGGAAGAAAAAGACCAACTCCTCCGGCCCGCCACCACTCACTGGCCATGGCTCCGCGCATCCCCGATCGTCCCGGCTCCTCCCTCACAGCGCCGGGCCTGCCGGGAAGTGTAGTCCGACAGTGTCCCAAAGAAAAGCGCAGGCGCACTTCCTCCACAGTACCGGTGTAAAAACCAACCTTATCCTGCCTCGGGAAGTTCGGCTCGTTCCTCGACCCGATTTTGCAGCGCTTCCCCACGGCAGCTTTGTCAGGCAAAGGTGCAGGGAGGTTCAGGGGATGAAGTATCTCGGGGCCTAAGTGCCGCTGAGGCTTTGCTGGAAGTACAGCTGTGGTGCCAAATCAGCACCTGGCAAAAACACCGCTAAGCATCTCAGCCTCTTGGTGCTCCACGGAGCTGGTGTGCAGCCCTAGCACGTGTTAATATTTGATAAGGGCTCGTTCCAAGAGGTCTGTACGAGTTTACAGCTAACTTGTTCACCTGGGAATCACCATCTTCCTTTACGAGAATAGCATCTCCTAAGCTACTTACTCAAAATGCTAACTGCCATGCTGTTTTTATTACTAGCTTTAAACACAGAGTACTCCCCTTTACTCAATACAGAGCACTGCTGCCTCATGTATTTGTTACAATATTGAGCTTTTTAAAAGCCAGTTAGTAGAACTGCAGGTTCATGTTGCATAGAGGCAATAGTATCTCCACGAGTTGAAAATAGATGAGAGCAGAAGGGGCAAAGATAAAATGAGTAACCCAGAGTGATCCATATCTTACGCATGCATAAAACCCACAAGGCCTAACAGGATCTAAACTGTAAGAACAGCAAGTAATCTTCACTTACATCTGGAGAAGGCAGTGTAAATAAAACTGCACCTCCCGAGTCACGAGTATTTTTGGTGGGTAATACACGAGAAGTTCTGTACAAATTCTCGTACAGATCAGAATCTACAAGGATTTGTGAGAACTGAAGAGCCATCAGTGAACACAGAAGCACTGACCCTGGCTACAAAACACAAAAGAGCTCCCATTTAGCAAGAGAGCTTACTCTGAGAAGAGTGGATTTTTCCTGTTACAGACCTTATTTCTATCACCAAAACTGAGTAAAATAAAAATTAAGCCCCCAGCAACAACTGCAGCTGTCATCTCACATTCACAACCACAGACAGCAGTGCATGCAAAATAAAACAAGAGGCTGTAAACCTCTGGCAAAACAAAAAAAATAAAAAAATTCCTCCAAGATGGACAGGAAGTAGAAGAGCTTTTTCGTTTCAGTCACTCCAGTACTATAACTGGAATTTCTGCTTAGCAATGCAAGTTTTGTAAGAGACACACTAACTACAGATGCATATGCTATGAGGCAAGAGTAGCCTTTAAATTGTGGGTAGAGAGGCATAAAACAGCACTGAAATTATTCATAGTTCGGACTGAGCTTCGTAAGATCAGGAGTCTGCTGATAACTTGCACGTTGTCTCAGAAAATTACAAATAATTAGGCTTGGATTATACATTCCTACACAGAAAAGATTAAAGAACTGACTTACTGTAGCTTTATTTTCTGTAGATCTGAAAAGGTCTGTATTTGCTGTCCTCAGAGAAGCATGCATGTTACCCACTTTCTATATTTAATACCCAAATATACCTGTTTAACAACTGAGTGTACTTTCTACACACCACCATGCCAATGACTAGTAGAATGTGTTGTATCATTTTGCCAACATTTTTATAATCTAAAATATCATGCTGGGAAGCCTGGAATTTATGCAGCAATCATTTCTATTTGACCATTTGTTACCTCATCTTGACCTTTCTATGAATGTTTACTATGGCCTACCCACAAATATTTAGTGAAATTAGTCAAAGTCTGAATTCCAAAATACTTACATTAAGATGTCACTGACAGTAGCTCCCTATGATCCATAATCAGTTTCATCCACTCCAAAGATCAAATTCACTTCCATTTACAAAATACCTTTAGGAAAAACTGTTGATTCAGAGAACTCAAACAGTATGCAACTAAATGCTTTCAGGCAGAACAAGTTATGTTCAAATTGTACTGGTTTATTTACAACTGTAGTTTATAAACAGTAACACAAACATCTTTACATGAAAAAAATCTCATTGCTAAAGTAGGCCCAGAGTCAGAGACTCTTCAGGAAATTTTCAGAAGGGAGTAGGAAGAGGAAACTGTAATACAACAGCTTCTGGGCAAAACTATAAATACGTGAGCACTGGCCCAGGTGCAATTCATGCAAGTATCTTCAACAGTTCAAGTTCTATTGGTGCGTACTTAGATACTAAGACAGAAAAACAAAAAAAAAAAAAAAAAAAAAGAAAGAAAAGAAATAAAGAAAGAGTTAGTCCCAGAATTAAGGTGCCCCAGCTTGATTCCAAGTAAAATAACTTAGAATGACTTTTTATAAAGATCAGTTTCATTTATTTTACCTCCTGAAGCTGCACCAGCTCACAGGTTTTCATTTTGGTAATTTCCATATCAGCCTCTAAAGATGCTATGCCTCAGCCACAAGGACATTCCTGTACTGAACTTACTTAACAAGAGAGCAGTTCTTGGAACAAGTGGAAAGCTGCTGATAAGCAATCACACAGTTGCTATCTCTGAAACATTTACTAGATAAGATGATGTTAGTTAAAATGCTTGAAACAATGAAGGCAACGGGTAGTGAATACATTTATCACAGGCATATAGTGCTTGAATCTCTTCACTTTGTGTGTGCTCATTTTCTTGCTGAACACACCTTCAATCAGCACATACTTCCGTGATGAACTGAAGGCTGTTAAAGGTCTAATTACTATCTTACACATTCTGTTTCTGAGGAGCAAGGTAACTTATTTTCAACTGTCACATTCTGTCAAGAAGCATTAACTTCCATTTCAACACACACATTCATCTTTACAAGAGAAACAGCCTCAACCTATAATGTGAAATTTTGCATAATTAAAAAAAAATAAAATAATCACAACCCTGTTGTAAAAGCCTATTGTCCACACTCCATTTTAGGATTTAAAAATACCCTACCATCATTTCAAATTATTTAATATAGTAGTGGATAAGACTTTTAAAAAAGTCAATTTTACAAATTGCTTGCATTTTTTCCATTTATCTGCAGCCCAAGGTGGACTTAACCATTTCTACTGAGAAGGATCCAGTACTGCTAAGATCTTTATGTTCTGCTCATAAACCCAAGTATCAATCAGTCCTTGATACTACCCAGTAGGCAAAGTCAAATTTATATTCTGTATGTAATGTAGATATTTTACTTTCAAGCAACAGTAATTTAAAATCCATTGTTTTCAACTGCTTCTCTGTATCTGGCAGTGCTTCTTTGCTTTAACACACTTAATGCAAGCCTAGCTGCATCTTCTCTTGCAGATGCAGATGACTCACATTAAAGCTGCGTTAAAAATGAAACAAACTGACCTTTATAATAAACATTTCTTGAAAACAAAACCAATATAATTAAAAAATTAAAAATCCCATTCAGAAGTTGATAATAATTTACCCTATCTTAGGCCTGCTACTCAGGCAACTCCCATCAGCAAACAGAAAAATTCTCTTAAGTTAGTATTCAGTTGGGAAACAGTCAGCTTGTATCCACATAGAGTATCTTGGTTGCTTCCTTATAAACCGTTCTCTACAAAGTCTTTAGTTATTAACTCTCCAAGGCGTCCAATACTTTCATGATCTGTTGTTTTATGGCTTTGGTAGCATCACCTGCATTTGGAATCAAATACCTTAAAAAAAAAAAAAAAGTCATCATTAATTCACTATAAAATTATTGAGCATTAATTCCATAATCCTTGCTTTGATTTTTCTTCTGGCACAACCTAGAGGGAAGCAGGAGGGGAGTATATTGAGATGAGAAATTACTGAGAAAGTAACATTTAATTCCCATTTGTACTATGAAATGCTTTCGTTTGTGAACTTAGAACTGTTGAGGAGTACTTCACAGGTCATCCTGGAAAGGAAAAGTTCTTCATTAATTGACAGTAGCATAGACCAGAGAGGTTAAGACCTCTACAGATAGCACTGTCTGACTGAAGCACAGCAGTCCTCATATCCTATTTTTAATTCTCATATATAGCTCTAGATATAGATCATATTTATGATCCTCTCTCTTCTGGATTTGCTCCAGTCAACAAGGTGGTGATGAAGCAGCAAAGTTCTCTGCAACCTTTTCGTTTATCTGTGTCTGACCTACTACCCGACTAATTTCATTCTAAGAGGTCAACAGGCATAAAACAACTTCTCTGGTTAGCTAGGAAACTCACTTCCACTTCTTGTAGAACCAGAGCGCCCCTGGACACTGTTCTCCCCAAAGAAACGGATGAGAAAATGTCCAACTGGTGTCACCAACTTTGTTAGTGCCAAGAAACAACAGGCTACACCAGCAAAAAACAAGCCCTACATACTCATTCCTCTGACTTCCCCCAGCTTGAGCACACAAATACTGCACATGGCAATACCTAACTTTAAGGAACCAGGTTTCAGGGGTTCAGAGTTTTGAGGTTAGGCTTCTGGACTCCTTGTTCAATGCATAGGAAGAGTTTGATGTCCCAGAAAAGACAACACAGAAGAAACACCACTTTC